ACCCTAATGGTGGCGCTGCTGAGGCAGGCTGGGGGGAGCAGGGAGGGATGTGGCAGGGGTGCAGGGGTGTGGACTTGGGATGTCCCTTGAGTCACATGGCACAGAGAGCGGCCTCTCTGAATGTATTAGCACTGTAGTACACCCTCAGACCAACTTCCCTTGATGCCCAAAACCTGGTTGAGAGCATGTGATCAAGACCCTCGCTGTCCTCCTCAAGACCCTCCCAGAGCCCTCGGGGTGTCCAGTGGGTCAGGGGCACTGAAGCGGTCCGTGCCTTGCCATGATCGCCTTTCCCCTACCATCTGCAGGCGCTCCTGAAGAGCCGGGGCTCAGCCCTTGTCACCTCTGGAGGCAGGGGACCTGACTTGGTTTACACGGGCATTTGGCATCCTGGCTTAGTGACTCACAGCGGGAAGCCTGTACCAATTTGAAGGAGGGCAAATCACAAATGTCAGCTGGCTGAGACCCAAGTGCCAGGTCCTTGCCAGAGGCACTGCTTTAATACCAGCCTGCACCGTCTGGAGCCCGTAATGAAAGAGGCTGACAGTCCATTAGCAGCAGAGTGGTCCGCAGGGCTCGGAGGAAAGAAGCTGTCTGTCATGCACCTCACTCCAAGGGCAAAATCAACCCTGTGTGTGTGTGTGTGTGTGTGTGTGTGTGTGTGTTCCTGCGCATGCCCACACATGTGTGTATACATCTCTAAAAAAAGGAATATTAATCACAGCTGTGCCTGTTAAAATAGGCACAAACAACAGTGACATCACAGAGAGGAAATGGTGACATAGTTCTTGTCCTCTGTCCTCCTGACCCCTGGGGGCAGGTTTGAGAGACAATTCCAGAAAAACTGAACAGCCATATCACAGGATTGGGAGACCCTTAAAGTCTAGAAAGTTCTTAAGTGGCTAGAAAGTTCTTCCTGAGCTGAGAGCTTAAACTTGGAGCCATATAGCTTCTACCCATTGGTCCTAGGTTTGCCTTTTGAAGTCACACACACACACAAATCCTTTTTCCCCAGAACAGTCCTCTCCTGAGTCTCCTTGCCACGAGGACATGGTTTTAAGTGCCCTCACCAGTGTGCCTACTGCTTTCTTGACAAGACCCGGTCTGTGAATCACATCTTCAAAATGCAATTCCCATCCTGAGAGATGTAAAATCTTTGCTGCAGCTGTTACCAGTATGAAAACACACACGCGTGGGCACGCGCATACGCACACACGCGGGCACACAGAAATAAAGTTCCTGTGACTGCATTTTCATCCATTTCTCATTTCATGCCATATTGTCAAATGCCTTGCCGCAATCCAAGTATATTATATCCGCGGCATGTTTTTGACCCATCTCCATACTGACTATCAAAAGAAAAAACAGGGGTGCCTGGGTGGCTCAGTCGTTAAGCGTCTGCCTTCGGCTCAGGTCATGATCCCAGGGTCCTGGGATCGAGCCCTACGTCGGGCTTCCTGCTCTGCGGGAAGCCCGCTTCTCCCTCTCTCACTCCCCCTGCTTGTGTTCCTGCTCTCACGGTCTCTCTCTCTCCCTCTGTCAAATAAATAAATAAAATCTTTAAAAAAAAAAAAAAAGAAAAAACTTTTTTTTTCTAAGAAAGGAAAGGAGCTCAGAAAGGGACCCAGCCCCCCAGGTTCGATCCAACAACACAGGGATGGGCAGGATCTGCGTCTTCTTTGTTCTGGACACTGTTCACCTGTTAATTCTGCCTCGGATCACATTAACCTTCATGGAAGTCAGAACTCGTTACTGACTCACACTGACCTTCGGGCCAGGTAACAGGCTCAGACTTTGGTGTGATTGTTTGGATACAAGATTAACAGAGGAGTTAATACCATGGGATGTATTTTGTTGCCCCCCTCCAGAAGAGGCCAGCATTGAGCCCCCCACCCTACCCTGGTGGATTTTGTGCAAAGGTCCTACAAGGGGTGGGGAAGCAGGGAGATGCTTTGAATACAGGAGGTGGAGAAGGCAGATGGTGGAGGGAACAGGTGCTTCCCCGAGACTAGGCCAAAATTGGGATTGGGTGGCAGGAAGTCACGCCCACAATACTCTTAAGGCCCACAATACTCTTAAGCAAGGAGGACCTACTGTCAGGGGCATTTGAACCCTTCTAGAGCAATATCCAAGAAACAGAAACAGGAGTGGATTCCAGGGCTGAACCCCAGCATGAAGCAGACGGGAAGCAACCTCAGTGAGTGAGTCAGTGAGCAAGGACTGGGCCAACATGCCTAGCTCCTGCCCCCCGGAGATCCAGGAGGCCTGGGTGGTCCCAGAGGGAAGGAGGTGGGCCCAACAAGTGACTGAGGCTGAATTTCCAGCCACCCCACTGGAGAGCAGAATAAATCTGACTCACAGAAATAAAGGCGCATGATACGGCCTCCCAGGGTCATTGAAGAAATTCATACCCGCCACATCTACAGCTGCCATGCCACGGAGCTTCCCCTTCTGATGTCATGCTGTTGATTTGGGGGACCCAGGTATATTTATATTTATCCATGCTAAATTTTTCCTTTGACTCATCAAAGCAGCCTTTTGATTTATGAGGATCCTAACGGTCAGCCATTTTTTTTGTATTTCTTTTTTTTTTAATAATTTTTTTTATTGTTATGTTAACCACCATACATCATTAGTTTTTGATGACGGTCAGCCATTTTATAAGCTCTTCCTCCAAGGTTTACAAAACCTGGGATTTGGGCTAATTCCAGTCATTGACAACAGGTGTTGGGCCCCGCCAGGCCAAGGGCGGAGGGCAGGCTCACACGGGCTGCTACAGGCCTCCTTGCCCATTGGCATGACACCCTAACCAGCCCACTCTCTCCCACAGCTTGTTCTGTCTCCCACAAATTCCCCCGGCTACACTCGTATCCGTTCTGCATATCTCTTTGTTCCTAAGGACATATTGTCAAACGCCTCGCTGAAACCCAAACATACTCTTTCTACTACATGTTCTCCATCCAACAGCACAGTGACCCTATCAAGAAAAAAGAAAAATGAAAGTAGCTAAGGACAGGGGAAGCGAGGTTAATCTGGCCTAGCTGGCTCTAAGCAGTCCCTCCAGTCTCTCCTAAAGGTTCATCAAGTCTGGTCAAACCCTCCCCAGGTTCATCATCGAAGATCAGAGGACGCACCCCCACCCCCACCAAATGTCCCAGTGTTCCTGTGCTGGTCTCCTAAGGTTTATGATTCCAAGTTCACAGTAAGACAAGAATGAGGAAAGCAAAGACGACTGATAAACATTGTTTTTATTAACAAGTCTAAAGAAGACCTTCATTGAATCAGGAGATGTAATACAAATTATGGTGGCCTGCATATAAAACCCGGCACTAAATTTGGCCTTTTAGAAATATTTATATATAAAAATATGCATTAAAATCTGTACCATGATGCAGTGCAGAGGCCAACGGACACCTCCTGGCATGAGGGCTTACGAAGGCGGGTGTGGTCTGGGGATGCAGGGAGCTCTGGTCCTAGAGCCGCAGGAGGGAGCCCTGTGTGAGAACGGCCTGCTCTCAAGAGGAGCCACAAAAGCCTGGCTTTGAAGCACAATGCCCCGGACCTGGTGTAAAACAAAAATGGTGCTGGGAAGAATGGCAGGGTAGGAGGACCGTCCTATCCTGACCACCATTCGAGGATTCTGGAGCTCTGTAGACAAACCACCTTTAGCTTTGGAGGAATGCCTGCAATTTCCAAACATGTTTTTTCCAAGGAGACTGACCAATTCTAACTCCAAGGAGCCAAATCATAATTAACCTGATTTGAAGGGGTAAGAACTAGTTCTTGTCTCTTTCGGCGGCCAAGACCCTGAAACACCAATCAGAAAGGCTATAATCACAACAGAAAAGTATAATGATGATGGTCTCAATCTAGTTCAGTCTTGGACCAAACGCAGCTGAGCCACTCTCGCCCAAAAATTGTACTTTGCAGGCAGTGAAGTGAGAAGCAGCTACAATCAGCATTGGAATTCCCCCATTCTGGGAGCAAAAGGTCTTTGCACAAGGTACCGGAAGACTTTGGGAGAAGCAGGGTCAACACTGCACATCTGTCTTCAAAGAGGAAGAGGCAGTGCCTTCCCTGGCAGGGCCTGCCATTTTGGCTGAACAGGGTCAGGGCTGTGTCTATCGGCTTGTTCGTTCACGGATGAGCGGACATCCCTGGTCTGCTCATCCTGTGGCTCTGTAGGAAATGACAACTGTCCCCAACTCAGCTGCTACACCGCTACCCAAATAGGCTCCATGGCTGGGAGATGCACAAATGGGAACCGGACAGAAGGTGGACACAGGGAAGCAGGAGGAAAGGCGATGGGTCACGGGAAGGAGCTTCAAGGAGTCCAAAATCCCTACGATTTCAGGGCTCCTAATACTTACTGAAAGGGCTGGAGTCCTTCCTGTCATCCAGTAGATCCCGCAAAGGGAAAACAGCAGCGGAACCAGTTTCTAATCAAAAGCAGAGTGACTTTCTCAGCTGCCTCCAGGGTGGGGGTTGCTCCCTTCCCCAGCCTTCAGCTTGGCTAGCTGGCTGCAGGTTGATCTGCCACTTCTCCGCTGGGGCAGTAAGTGAAAGGAGAGATGAAGAGTCAAAGTGTCCGAATCCCGACCTAGGCAAAAAGCCGGGAGCCACGGTAGGCTGTTAATGAAGGACTTTCTCTCTCAAGCAGTATATTTCAGGCCCCAAGGGCTCAGGGTAAGAGACAGACGCGCCCCGGGTCACTGGGGCCTGGCACCGATCGCAGGCACATCCTGCAAGACCAAGCTACCAGGATGACACCTCTGGCGGGTGAGCGGGGCAAGCGGGAGCCCCGTGACCACTGCACTTCCAGGACAGGAGACCAACCCGGCAGCTCCTTCACAGTCTTAGGGCCTTTTAATCTGCTTTAAAGTAACCTAACAACACCCCCTAGTGGAAATTATAAATAAAACAAGGACCACACAGCCAGTTTACCCGCTACCAGTGGTTTCGAGATTCACCATAAAACGGAGTAATACAAAAACAAAACCTTATCTTTAGAAAGATAATAAAAAAAGGTGGGAGTTCAGAAGCCAACCTCAGCCCCCTCGCTGCTAAATCACCCTCCCTCCTCGGATTCTCTGCCTTCAACAAACACATTCCAATACAGGGAATGGAGACGGGGAGCTCCAGGTCCCCTTACAGTTTGGGCAGACTGCCCACTGGGGCCAGAATGATGCCAAAGACATAGAAGAGCCCCAGCAAGAGGTTGAGTTTGGCAGTCCTCTGGGGCAGTTTGTTGAAAGTCTGGCTTCGGAACTGTCTCTCCAGGGAGAAGGCCATGGGGATGGTGAGTAGGGGGAGAGCCAGGCTGATGCTGCAGTGTGTGGCCAGGATGCTGAAGATCAGGTAGGGCAGGAAGAGCAGCGTGTTGTAGAGCATGTAGGAGAGGGTAGGGCCGATGAGGATGGCGAGCGTGACGATGCCGGCCTCCCTGTCAGACTCCATGTCCCTGGTGTTGTTGGAATGGAGAATGGCCTCGGTGCTCAGGGCAAGGGGGATGGCGTAGACCAGTGGGAAGACTGCCAGGGACCCCACCTGGACGGCATAGGCGAACATCACAGCCAGCGGGCCAAAAGTGATGAGGATGACCAGGTCTCCCAGAGCCACATACTTGAATCCAATTCCTACGGCCAGAAAACCCAGAGAGCTGGTGTGAGATCAAGGGCTGGAAATTGAGGGGCTGTTCATCAGTCCAAAGGCAGGCTACCCTGGCTGGGAGCGGTGAGTTCTCGGATGGTGAGAACGGCCAGTCAGTGAGCTCCCTGCCCCCTCCCCCACCCCCCCACCGAGCAAAACTGAGTTTTGTCTCCGATGACACAGAGGGGCAGAGAACACTCATCTTTTAGCACCCAGTCAGGCTTCAGAGTCAAGTTTTCCTTCCTACTGTTCCCAGCAAAGTCCTGCAACAAAGAGCAGTGGGTTCCCACTACACACACAATTTAACCAGAGAGCCCGTGAAGGCTCTAAAAGGTCTTACAAACTGGGTCTTTGGCTTCTTTCTCCCTTCACCGACCCCTGCAAGACATGGCTTCTGTCGGCCAGTCCCTCACAGAATACCCATCTCAGTCTCTTTGCTGCCTCCTTCTTCCACAACCTCTGGGGGGATCTGGCTTTGAAAACCCCCAGGGCACCTCAGTGAAATTTCAGGATACCCACTCTACATAAGGAACCTTCCACTCATGTGACAAATAAAACGGCTATAAGACGACGAAGTTACAGTGCTGCTTCCCCTCTCTGGTTCCCCTGAAGTTACAACTAAATCACCCCAACTCCTCGTCCTGCACTGCCAACGCACTTCAAATCCTGTCTAAACCACTTCATTCAAACCTGCCCAGTTCTCTCCAGCGATGCCACACTCCATCAGATCTCACTCCATCCCCAAATCTGAGTCATGGTCACCCTATGCAGGGAACACTGTGACACCCATTCTCAGGACCTCCCCTCCCCCTCCCTCCCCTGATCTCCATGGGCAGCCGGAGGGGTCCTTTGGAAATACTCACTGGACTGTGACCCTCCCCCAACATACACCAGAAAACCCTTTGCACAGGTTGTCCTTAGATCTTTCTTTCACCAGCTCACCTCTGGGCCTGCCCTGTCTCCCTCCAGCCTCGCCTTGAGCTCCCCGCTCCTCCACTCATATTTCCGTAGGTTCCTCGGGGCCTTCAGACACCCCACCCCACCCTTGCCTGGCTAACTCCTACTCACCCTTCAAAACGTTAAAGACCATTCCTCCAGGCAGCCTTCCCTCATCCCCTAGGCCACAACCGGTCCCCCTGCAATACATATGCTCCCAGGGCACCCAGATTTCCAGCTTTGTAAAATCCATCATGCTTCTAATTACTCCATCTCCGTCCTTCCCTCAAACCCTAAGTTCTATGAGGGCAGGGCCTTGGGTCTGGTTTGTTCACAGCTCGCTCCCCAACATGCGGCACAAAGGATGAACGGAATACAGAGCTACAGTAACAAGCACCCGGAGTCTGGGGCCAAGGAGAAGAAAAATGTCCAACTCAGAGTGAGGCAGTATGCAGCAGCTGAGAGGTGGGACCCACATAGACTGCTACAGAGGCCTGGGAAACCTCCCGGTCTAACCAAGCTTCCAACTCGCGGCCTCAGGATCAGGAGATAAAGAAAAGTACTGGGTCATCAACTGCACTTTAACCAGCCTAAAACGGTAAGGGATCATGGTCTGCAGAGGATCTAAAGCCAGGGCAGCCAAAGAACAGGACTGGGCTCAAGATTCCCTTCACACTGGTAGCTGGGGTTCTGGGTTGTTGTTTCTTTTCCACCTTTATTGAAAGATAATGGACACGTGACACTTGATACATTCATATACTGCAAGATAATTACCACCAAAGCATTAGCTAACAACTCCGTTTAGTCGGGGTGCTTTGGTGGCTAAGTGACCACCCTTGGTTCTTTAGAATGAAGCATCCCCAGGGAAGGGTCACAGCCATGGTGCCCTGCAGCCACCAACACGCGGCGAAGTCATTCTGCATTCCCCAAGCAGTGTTGTGACAAATTATTTGCTTGTCTGAGGACATGCCCTCCAGGAGGAAGCTCTCTCAAGCAGAACATTGGCTCCCGTTACAAATTAGTAAATCGATGTCTCCTGCAGTATCTCACGCATTGAGGGAACAACCCCCACCCAGGGAAGGTGCCAGGCGGGAATACTCCCAACGGGGACCCGGCAAATTTCTCCCCCAGCTGCCCCCTCTTTTGCTGACAATCCCAGTTCTCCAAGCAGACACAAGAGCTGTCACTATGGAAGAAAACACGAGAGCTCTCTCGCCGTGACATCCGGCTAGATTACCCATCTGGCTGGATCTCCTTAGGTCACCTGGCAAGAAACGATGTGAGCCAAGCTGAACAGAAACCTGTACCTGCAAGGATACACCCCCACCTTGAACAGGTTCTATACAGAAACCAACCACAAGCCCACTCCGCAGCTGAGAGCGGTCTGGTAACCTTCTGGAGGTTCTCTGACACGAGAAAATGATAGAGCCCTCGGGGAGAAAGCTGCTTCCGGAGTCTGGCCCAGGGCTCACGGGTTCCGCCTGCTTCCAAATGTGGCCCATCTCTCCTTTTGGGCATTCCCACCCCTCCCAACACCATTTTCCAAATGAGCCAACATGGTGAAGGACTGGGTGAGCTCTCTGCACAGTGGCCAGCATGAATTCATTAAAACATAAATCAGAATGTTGGCAAGGCCATGGAGTAACTGGAACTCTTACACATTGCCAGTGGAGTAACATAAGTCTAGTACAACCACTTTAGAAAACACATTGGCAGCTTCCCATCATGTTAAACATTCATCTACCCTCTGACCCAGAGATTCCACTCCCAGGCATTTACCCCAGAACAATGAAAACAAATATCCACAGAAAGACTTCAACGTGAGTGCTCAGGCATAATAGCCAAAATACAGAAACAATCCAAATGTCGCTGTACAGGATAAAGGATAAACAAATCGTGGTTCTGTCTGCACAATGGATACTACTCACTACTGATGCCCATCAGAACATGACGAAATCTGAAAACTACCATGCTGAGCACAAGAATTCATACAGAACGATTCCATTTACATAACGTTCTAGACCAGGCAAAACAAGCTCTGTGAAAGAAAGCAAACAGTGGTGGCCTCTGGATAGGGGTGGGGAGAGTGGGAATTGACGGGGAAGAAAGCTTTTTTCTTTTTTTAAAGATTTTATTTATTTATTTGAGAGAGAGAATGAGATAGAGAGCACGAGAGGGGAGAGGGTCAGGGGGAGAAGCAGACTCCCTGCTGAGCAGGGAGCCCGATGTGGGACTTGATCTCGGGACTCCAGGATCATGACCTGAGCCGAAGGCAGTCGCTTAACCGACTGAGCCACCCAGGCGCCTGGGAAGAAAGCTTTTGAGGGTGATGGAAATGTTCTGTATCAGGACAGGGTGTGGGTTATACAACTGTATGCATTTGTCGAAATTCATCAAACTATAACACTTAAGATCTGTGCATTTCACAGTAAATCAATTTTATCAATAAAGGTCAATAGTTAAAAAAAACGCATAAATCAGATTATGTCATGACTCTGCTCATTGCGTTTCAGTGTCTCCCCATTTGTTCACTCAATGAATATCAAGTACTAACAACATGCCAGGCAGTGTTCTGGGCACCATGGGCTCAGCAAAGAACAAAGACCTAATCGCAGGGAGCTTATAGTCTAAGGGGGAAGACAATTAACAAAGTCAGTACTTTAGATAGTGTGTTAGAAGTAGTATGTGCTATGAAGGAAAATAAAGCAGAAGAAAGCAATAGGGAAGGTATTGTGGGGGGAAACACAGTGGTGTGTGTGTGTGTGTGTGCGTGTGTGTACGCACTTTTATTTTCAGTTGCTGCAAAAAAACTCTATTGCTTTATAATTTTAAATAGGGTAGAAAGCAAGGCCTCACAAAACAGCTGACAAGTGAGCAAATGGGTAGAGCTTAGAAAGTGCATCAGGCAGACAGAAGGAGGAAGGGCATTCCAAGCCAAAGAAAAGCATCTACAAAGGACTTGAGGCAGCAGCATGCCCTGACTGTACCAGAAACAGCCAGGAGGGCAGTGTGGCTGGAGCACAGTAAGCAGGAGGAAAGAAGGGGGCAACAGAGCTGGGAGGAAGGGGGAAGGGAGAGGGTGAGCTGATAATGCCCCATCGTGGGGGTCCCTGTGAAGACCCTGGCCTTTCCTCTGAAGAAGATGGGAGCCACTGGAGAATTGTGAGCAGAGGACTGATGTAGCTGCCTTATGTTTGAACGGGACTACTCAGGCTGCTCATTTGGAAGCACCCAGAAAGGGACATGGGTGGATGCAGAGAGATCAGTAAAGAACCTGCCACCATAATTGAGGAGATGATAGTGGGGGTGGGAGGTGGCAGGACATGGTCAGATCCCAAATGCATTTTGAAAGCAGAGTCAACAGGATTTGCTGATGGACTGGATGGGAGGAGGAGAGTCAAGGATGATGCCCATGACTTTTAGCCTGAAGAACTAGAAGGAGGAAGTTGCTGTGGAACGAGATGGGGAAAGCGGGGGGTAGGGCAGGTTTCTTAGGGGAGATCAGGACTTTGGCTTCGGACACATTGGCTTGAGATGCCCGTGAGGCCTTTAGGAGCAGCTAGTAAGGAAGAAGTCAGACGAGTCGGAGTTGAGTGCAGACATCTGGGCCAGAGCTATACATTTGAGAGTCACAAGGTTAACAGATGGCATATGAAGCCACGAGATGGGCTAAAATCACCCAGGAAATAGACGGAATTAGAGGAAAGGGGTCCAAGGACTGAGGCTGGAGGCTGGGAGCCGGAGGCCCTGTGAGACCAGCACGATCCAGGCTGGCCAGCCTCCCCAACAGTATTTCCTTGTCCCTCTCGATCATATTGGCCTTTCATAAATCCTAGAATATGCCAAGCTCTCGCCCACTCCAGGGCATTTGCATGCACTGTTCCTCCAGCCCTGAAGGACTCGGCACGCGAATCAGACCCATTTCTGCCCCATCACTTGTTCCTTATCCTTCACGTATGAGTCGCCTTCACAGAGAGGGCCTCATCCTTCTGCTGCTGCCCCATGCACTCTACTGATTTCCAGTGAAAGCACTGAGCTTTCACAGCAGGCTCCTCCATCACACTCTCTTCACCTGTTCCTTCTTCTCTCCCCCTCTTAATGTTGGGGTGCCCCAGGGTTCAGTCCTGGTCCCCTTGTGTCTCTATCAGCACTCCCCCCTCTGGTGATCTCACCCAGTCACACAACTTGATCTAGGTGCCAGAGACCCCCAGATAGCTCCAGCTCAGGCCTCTCCCTGGAACTCAGATGCTTAGGTCCAGACATCCATTTGACATCTCCACTTGGAGATCTAATACATTAAGATGTCCAAAGTCAATCTCCCAATTTTCTCCCCCAAACCCTACCTTCGACCTTCTCCATCTCACTTGACCCCAACTCTATCATTCCAGGTGCTCAGGCCAAAGCTTTTGAGTTACGTTGAATTCCTGTTTCTCTCCTGCCTCACGTCCCATCCAGCAGCAAACCGTGTCTACCTTCAAAATATATTCAGAATCTGACGGCCTCTTCCCTTCTCTACCACTACCACCGTGATCCAGCCCGCCAAACCTCTCTTGCCTGGATTGCTCAACAGCCTCCTCGTCTCCTGCTTCAGTCTTTGCCCACTCGCCTTTACCCATTCTCAATACTGCAGCCAGACTGATTCCTTGAAAATCTTAAGGCCCACATCATCTGTGTGCTTCTCTGCCCTCCCCACACGTACTTCCCTTGCTTTACCTCCTTGTATTTACTCTCTCCCTCACTCATGCATAAGGGACTCATGCTATTCCTCAAACTTTTGAGGAACACTCCTGCCTTAAGGCCTTTGGCAACTGCCATTCTGAGATTTCAAACACTCTTCCTCTAGATACATGCTTAGCCAACTTTCTTCCATCTTTGCTCACATTACCTTTTTGAGGAGGCCTACCCTGATCAAACTATTTCAAACAGCTATGTCCTCCTTCCTTGCTCTATTTATTTTTTTCCCTATAGCACTAATCATGTTTTTATATACTATAATCAGGGTCCCAACTCATTCAGGCTTACCAGGAACTCTCCTGAGTTCCACACCAAAAGTCCAGCATCCTGGGAACCGTCTTAAGTCCTGTGCAAACCAGGACGTTGGTCATCCTGAATAGAATTTACTATTTTTACTTTCTCTCTCTCCTCAAGATCTATAAAATAACTTCCACAAGAGCCCTTGCTCAGGATCTGTGACTGCTGGGTTCATGTAGAACAGTGCCTGGCACATAACAGATGCTCAGTAAGTAGGACCTGACCACTTGCCCATTACTACCTTAATAAGCCGTGGCAAGGAATCACACAGCAAACTAGCTGAAAGTAATTAGCTGTATAACGTTGAGCTCTTCAAATTTAATTCCACTAAAATTTGAAACGGTGGCGTCGTAAGATAACGACCAATGAAAAGAAACTAGACGGAAACATGTCCGTATCTGTGATTCCTAACATCCATAAACCAAGCCAGGATCTTCTCAACTCACTACTGTTCTCAAAAAATCCACAGGACCCACACATTATAGATTTCACGTAAATGGCCTAACTCAGAAAAGAGCCTTTGACACCTCTTCTCCAGCCCTGTAACTCCTTTGCGGAGGAGTGTCTAGTACATGCAGCCAGAAAACAGGCCAACTCTTACCTCCTGTGTAGAGAAAGGAGCCAGACAGGCCTCCAAAGTAGATGAGAGCCAAGTGCTCCAATTTCAGAGGAGACAGGTAGTAGAGACAAGCCGCACAGACACAGCCCAAAGTGTAGAGGAAGACTCCAAACCGAACAACATCCTGGGGCTCCAAGATATGGTCCACCAGGGTCCTGTCATCACTCTTTTTGTGGTCAATGCCCTTGGAAAAGTCATAGTAAGTGTTGACCAAATTGCCAGCCCCGTGCACGGCCAGGACAGCCACAGCACAACCCACCAGCAGCCTGGGATCCAGCACGCCCTGGGATCTGTAGGCCAGGGCGCTGCCCAGGGCCACCGGGGTGAGTGAAGCACTGAAGCTCCAGGGCCGCAGGGCCAGCACGTAGGAGGCGCACTTCTGCCTCCAGGAGCGTTGGAGAAGCCCGTCCTGCTCCGGACAGCCGTTCCCCAGCAGGTCCCTGTCCCCGGCCTTGGCCGTCTCTCCCGCCTGTATGTTAATCTCCCCCGGGACCTGTGAGGCCGCCATGGAAGCTACACGTGGCTGAAGTCAAAGTTAATAGTGAACGCCCACGGATCAGCCACCGGGTGCGGGGCTGGGCGGCCAGACCTGACCTTCCTTCGGTTCCGCCCCCGGCCAGGGCTGGGGAGGCGGCGGGCCCCGGGGGTAGCACCGAGCGGACCTGGCAGCCCACGAGGCCCAGCGGCACCGCCCAAACCTCCTGTGACCCGGGCGAAGCCTGTCTCTGGACCTTAGCCCTGGGCTAGAGGCCAAGGCCAAGCTGCGGCCGCCCTCCCCGGGGTACCGGGGCCGCCATCTTGTGCGCCCGCCTCCGGAGGCCCGCCCGGAAACAGGGGCCGACAACGCGGGCCGGGCCGGAGCGGGGGCGGGGCCCCGGAGCTGGGGGCGGGGCCGGCGGAGACCCGGCGGGGTCCAGCCCTTCTCTCGCCCAGGATCCGAGCCCCGCAGCTGACCCCGGCCCCGCAGCCGACCCCGGACGCGCAGCCTCACTTAGTATCACAAGGACGACCCCGATTGCGTGTCGCTTTAAGAATTACCTGGAGCTTCAATTCACCAAAATAGGACTCATTCATTTTTTTCATACAACAAGCATTTACTGAGCACTTACTATATTGTAGGCAGCGGTGAACAAAATGGACAAAAATCCGGGAGCACACTGAGGGCGATGAGAAAGGTATGATGACCTCCCACTTTTTAAATGGGAAATGATGTCCAGGAAATTATTAGCTCTAGTAATAATAACAACGGCAATAATTCTTCCCTTTCATTGTGCAGTTACCATTTGCCATATCCTGGCCTGCCTTCTCTCTATCCGTATTCTAGGGTACTCACTGACTCATGCAAATAACCAGCGTCCTCCCCACTCTACCACGTGGCCAGCTCTGTTTCTTCATTGCCTGCCTTCTGGAAGCTTATGATCCATATCGGTAGTTTGTCCCGGCTGGAAGGAGCCAATTGTTCAATTTTTAAGAATTTTCTGAACTGGTCATTAAGCACAGCCATTATTAAAAATCAAATTATACAAACTTATGAGATAAATTATATTAAAAACAAAGGTAACAAAACTCATTACTTCCTAATTATTTCACTCCATTTTACCATTTATGTTCTTCAGATTGTTTATGTCTGCTGTATCTACATTTGTGGAAATATGATTTGTTCATCTCTTCCCAGCTTTTCATTCGGTGACATCTGTTGGTAGCTTGGAATCTGCCATAGTGGGAGTATTTATACCACACAGACCAGCAGATGCTTGATAATTGTTTCTTGATCATCTGGATTTAAGAAGTGACAGAGATAAGTTAATGCAGATTAAACTTAAGAGTGTGTCAACTCTGTAGCCATTATGTTGTGAATAGCAGCAGAACATAAAAGAAAATATCAACCAACATTCATATCGGAACTACACTCATTGGTCAGTTGCAACCTAGAGAGGCTATACGATATCCCCCCCGCAAAAAGCATACTGTTAGAATCGATTTACCATATGGAATTTGCCATAAAAAGCATTGTGCATTTTATTATTATTTATAAGTTATATGCTATACCTCCTTTACATGGTGAAAGTTATAATACACATATATGTACATGGGACAGACTACATAATTTTGGTGCCCAGTGCAAATTAAAATGTGCAGCCCCTGTTCAAAAATAATTAAGAATTTCAAGACAGAGAAGTACGACCTCTCACAGCCATGAAGCCAACCCTGTACATACATACATGCCCCCTCCCTTATTGACTAGCTGGTTGTTAAACATTTACAACTCTACCACCCAGCACATACTTGCAAAGCTGGCCAAACGCAAGTGTCCTATGCTGCGAAACTGGACAAGAGGAAGATGCAGATATTTCAAAATCCTGGCTCTATCACTTACCAATTCTATGACCCAATCCCTCTCCATGTCCGTTTACTCAGGTATAAAGTGGGAACAGTATGACCTGTCTCACAGAAATGTTCAGGAATAAGTGATAGCATTTATCGACTGCTCACATGTGTCATAGAGTGTTTTAGGTACGTTATGTGTATTAACATTTAACCCCAGTACACTGCCTATAGAGGCAAGTACATTATAATCCTTTCAGTTTTATGATAAAGAAATAGGTACAAAGAGATTAAGTACTTGGTCGTATAGCTAGTAAGTGTTGGAGCAAAGTTTCAGATTCAGTTAGACTCCAGTTTGCTTTTAACCACTACTTTATAATGTCCAGCAAAATGCCTGATATTCTAATGCTCAATAAATATTAGCTATTATTTAACATAAGAAAGTACTTTGTAAATTGAAAAGAGACCTACAAATGCATTGATTACTATTGCTATAAAAACATCTTTGATTGTTAATTCGAAAACAGGGCCTGGGGCGCCTGGGTAGCTCAGTCCATTAAGCGGCTGCCTTTGGCTCAGGTCATGATCCCAGGGTCCTGGAATTGAGCCCAGCATCGGGCTCCCTGCTCCACAGGGAGCCTGCTTCTCTGTCTTCCTCTGCCTGCCGCTCCCCCTGCTTGTGCACCCTCTCTCTCTGTGTCAAATAAATAAATAAAATCTTTAAAAAAAGAAAGAAAACAGGGCCTTATATTTTAGGGTGGCAAAAATATCATATATTGCTTGTGGAAATGAAAATTAGTACCTCCCTTATAGAGATCAAGTTGACGTTGTCCATCAACAACACATGCATTTACCCTGACCCTGTAATTCCATTTCTGGGTGTTTATTTGGTGTAGCTGCCAGGGGAAAAAATTACATATGTACAAAGGCATTCATTGCTGCTGCATCATTAATAATAGCAAGAATTTGGAAACAACACAAGTGCCCATCAACAGAGGACTGGAAAAATAAATTATGGTACATCCATGTGAAGGGATTCTACGCCAATATAACAACAACAAAAGAACACGCTAGCTTTCTATGTATTAAGAAACATCTCCAAGATCTACTAAAATTTTTAAAAAATATTTTATTTATTCATTTTAGAGAGAGTGTGTGAGTGAGGTGGGGGAGGAGTAGAGGGAGAGGGACAAGCAGACTCCATGCTGAGTACTGAGCCCTGCTCGGGGCTTGATCCCATGACCCCAAGACCATGACCCGAGCTGAAATCAAGAGCTGGACGCTCAACCAACTGAGCCACCCAGGCGCCCCAAGATCTACTAAAATCTCTTAAAGTCCAGACAAGTATAGATAGTAACAAGAGGGGAAAATAAAATATGCATTTATACTTGCTTATATTTATATAATGAAACTCTAGGGATACATAAGAACTAAGAAAATAGTGAAAGGGCAGGAGTGGAGCGAGACCTTTCATGATAAATATAATTTTTATTTATTTTGGGATTTGAACAGTGAATATATTATGTATTTTTAAATGTTTGATGATTAAATATAGAGATGTTGAACACAAGTGGAAAATGTGAAGTTCAGAGGGACAATTATTTCAGAGTAGAAACAGTGTAATGAAAAGATTCTAAACCTAAAGTAGTAACCATAAATTAAATCAAAAAAAGAATCTGCCAAAGCGTTTTGTTAGCCACAGAATATTGCCAAACCTCTTTAAGTTGGCAGTTTAGAACTTCTGGAAACTTACATCTCTTCAATAGATACTTCTTTGTATTATACAAGTAATTGGTGGTAACGTATAAGAAGTATGCCTTTTCCTTTTTTTTTTTTAAAGATTTTTATTTATTTACTTGTCAGAGAGAGAGAGAGAGAGCAAGCGCACAAGCAGAGGGAGAAGCAGGCTCCCTGCTGAGCTAGGAGCCCCATGCGGGACTCTATCCTAGAACCCTGGGATCATGACCTGAGCCAAAGGCAGACGCTTAACCGCCTGAGCCACCCAGGGGTCCCAGAAGTATGCCTTTTCCATATTCTATTACATCTTAGTTGTATATTCCCCCCCTGTGAATACAGACACCTAAGAAATATATAAATGTTTTATTAAGGGGTATATTATACTTATATTGTTGTATAATTTGTTATTTTTTTAACAAATTGTGAACATTTTTCCTTCTTAGCAAATATTAATCTATATTACCATTATTAATGGGTCCATACATTTTCCTTAATATGAATGCATCATATTTTATTTAATCAGACCCATTGTAAGAAATTGAGGAATTTTTGATTATAATAACCGTGACCAAAAAAATTGAGATGTAGTCAAATTCCATTTTTGCTATTGATTGTTTGAAAGGATGTTTTTATTTTATTTATTTATTTTTTAAGTGAGCTTTACAAGCTCTACGCCCAGCCTGGGGCTTGAACTCACCATCAGAGATCAAGAGTCCCATGCTCCACCAACTGAGCCAGCCAGGTCCCCTGGAAGGATGATTTTCAATGATGTTATTTGGAAATTATTTATTTAGGAGTAGGTCATTTAGTTAAAACTGGGTTATTGTCTCCCGCGAAAGATCTTGTGAACTAGATAATTTTGGAAAACTGGGAAAGTCTAACTAAAAACGCTTTAAAATGCATATTGCATTTAACAAAAGAGGAATCAAGGGTGCATAAGCAGCGCCAGTCCGAAAGTTCTAGGTCTGTGCTCTGGTAATCACAGGGCACTGACGTCGCTCACACTCCGGTTAAAGCGGGCGGGACGCACAGCCTCCAAGTCCCATGCCGCGGTACCCACACGGCAAACTCCACACCACCACAGTGGAGATGCAGAGGGGAGTAAGAGTAGCGATGGACCGGATGTGCGCGTGGAAGTGACTGAAATCAACTCAGGACCCATTGGTTCTCCCGAATTGACGTAAGCCTCCTTTCGCCTGCCACTGGCCGCGTGGTTTGTCTATTTGAACAGTCCCCGCCCCCTAGAGAAGCCGGGTCCCTAAGCCTCACTTCTCCTTCATTTCTATTGGTCTGTATTCCAGTCCATCTTCTTCTTACGCCTGCCAATTGGTCCTCAGGGCTGGGAGCCCGCCCCCCCCCCACCCGCCCGGCTTAGAGGACAGCGGGGAAGGCGGGTGGTGGGGCCGGGGGCCTGAAGCGGCGGTACCCTTGGTGGTGGCGGCAGCTGAGGCCTTGGCCGAAGCCG